TTGGATACAATGGGCAACATTTCTCTCCTCAGGAGAATATTTCCTTTTGCAGCACTGTTTCCCTCTGTGGAACTCTGTTTACTGAAAGTTCTCCCTAGGTAGGCCTGATCTTGCCTTCGGGAGGCACAAGGGGGCATTGGAATGAAAATGATGCGCCATCTTGTATTCTACCACGATGGTCTACATAGCACCATACAAACATCAAAGCAGCCTTGGTGCATCAAACCACGTCTCCAGTTACTTCAGCACCTGGTTTTCCCAAATGACCTACAAAATACTGATGACTTCCAGCCTTACAAGAGCCAGCAAATCCACACATTTGTTTTTCTCCAACACAAGTAGACCTAAACAGGGGAGGAGGCAATATAGGTATCATTTATCAAGGTCTCCATGCATCTGGGTGCCATATAGTTCTCTTCCGATTTAGTGCAAAGATCTAAAGATGATGCTAAAAGGCTGATCAGCTGAAGGTGCTCACAGGGTTCCCACAAGTGCGAATCAAACTTTATCAGAGTTTGCAGGAGATTCTGGAGAACTTCTGTCCAAAGATAGAGACAAAAATATCACTGGGCATGCCCAAAAATGCCTGAAGCTGTTCATGGCTTTTGTAATGCTGTAAGTTCTGATGATATGATTTGCATTTATGGATACAGATTGCTAGCTATTTTGTTGGATCTTGGGGTGCTGGGAAGTGGGGTAAAATAAAATAAACAGCAATATAAATAAGTTTCATTGATCCTTATGTAACACAAGCTTGCCCCACTTCTTAGCACCTCAGAAGTCTCCTGGGTAGCTAACAATGAATTAAGCAGGATCTATTCCACATCAGCTCCTCTAAAGCAAAATAAGCTCAAAAGACAGGAGTATGTGGCAAATCTCTTCCTCTTGTTCTACTCTGAGCAGTACTAGCCTTAGATTCCAACATGAAGCACAGTGCTTTGGGGGAGTTCAGTTACTGAAACTGGAAAGAAACCTCGTTAGCTGTTTTAATTACTACAAATGGCCTTGGAATCTCTTCCGATGAAATGTGGAACGTTAAACATTTTACATAATTACAACCACTTTGAAGGAGCACAGTCTGAATCCCATGGAATTGGCACCAAATCTGGGGGCGGGGGGGATCCATGGACCACACGAAAACTCTGGCCATTTTGTGGCCCCTCCTACCAGCTGGTTTCAAACCGGGTTGCAAGCAGAATCATGCTCCTGGGAAGCAGTCTCTGTGAAAGGGCCCAGCTTTTGACACCAGTGGTCTCCAACAATAGAGCTGTTGCATCTGCAAGGCGTCCCCTTGACCAAGACTTCTTTTTAAGCTGGAGATGCTGCCAGTTCGGCTGGGGCCTCCTGCATACGAAGCCTGTACTTCACATCGCTGAGTTATGCACCCGCTGCCCAAAGCGGAGCTTCCACAACCAGCCTACCCAAATAGCCACCCATCTGCTGCCTAGTCTGGACCGACTTCTGTTCCCACACCCTTCTTGCCAGTTCCACGTTCATCCTGCGCACTGCTTCGATGTATGCGTTTAGGACTGGTGAAACAACTGCCATGGATGACCTGCACTGCTATCTGATTAACAGTGATTAACATCTTCCCATGCTCTGCTCCAAATTAATGGTATCAAACGTATCCAGTCCACTGCAATGAATAGATTTTGAAGGCACCTATGGATTCACACTGGGCTACTCATTTCAATGGAACTCGATTTTCCCCAACGAGTCAGGCCGACTTCAATGAAAAGGAGCGGTGCCTCTCACTCTTCTTTTTGTCTGCCCAGGCATGCAACAAAAATATAATGAAAAGGATCACTGCTTGGAAACTGCAGTGGCTACCATAGTCGCTTAAAAGCTTTGCTCTTCAGCGTACCGAAATCTGTTCCCTTTCCCTAGCGCAGGTGGGTTCGTGTCAGTGCCAAATTCAGGAGGCCGTGCAAGCAGAAGGGCTCCAAGCCCACTTCCGAAATGGAGCACTCCCTCCATAAACAAAATCTGGAGGATGTTAAACAGCCATCAGTGTCAATATGGCTTTCTTCACAACATAAAACTGACAGAATGTCACGCAATGTACTACTTTGCCTCTAATCCTAGCCAAAACGTGACAGCTTTATGTAAATAAAATGTCACTGAATTATTCTACTGAACAGGCTGGATTGGGGATGCGGAAGCAGATAGAGGAAGGACTTTGGAACATTCCCTTCCAAGAACCTCATTTAAAAATTTTCGTTTAGGTTTCACAAAGGACAGTCGTCTCCATGGTTTGTCCTGAAACCTCAATCCGGAAGCTTGCTCTTCCCTTGCGCTGGGTTCCTATCCGGGGGGAGTAGCGGGGGAGCAAACAGCCACTCCTGCCTACTCTGCTTCTCGGGCCCTGGCCGGCATGCCAGCCAGCCAAGCAGCAGCGATGGCACCCCATCAGGGTTGCCACCCAACCAGACCAAAACAAAAAACAGCATAGCCATTTTCCTGTCTAGCTGCCAACACTCATAATGCACTGCATTCTAAAAGCTGCAACACACACACACACACACACACACACACACACACACACACACAGAACGAATGAAGATTTTTGATTAACCATTTTCAGCAGCACCATTTCCATTTATACTGCGCCTGCCCTGTGCAAACCAGGATGCGCATTAAGGACCCAGGCTGCTGAACTCTGTGCTGAAACACCCTTGTGTTTGCTGCTGGGCAAAGGGTGACACAATGCGGATGCCTGTCTGTCCACTGGGTTAAAGGAAGGAGGCTGGAGGGAGCACGGCAGAAAGGTCTGGAGAGGGCGCAACATAGGAAGCTTTTGCTCTCTGCACGCCCCCAGCCAGCACAGGTACTAATTTTTAATGTCAATGATGCTAGTCCCTCAGCCAGGATGAACTGCTGCACGGGGAAAGGACTGGCAAACAATGCGCTTGAATTCAGTGGAGAGGTAAAGCCCAGGCTGTAGTGTACTTAGGGATTTTTTTTTTTGTTCTGGACTTGATGATCCAACAGGGTCTCCTCATTAAGCATACACTGCTCCACTTGCTTCAAAATGCAGCAAGCCAATTCTGCTGCATTTGTGAGCCCTCTTGCTCCGCTGGCCAGGTAGGACCCTGGGACCCTAGAAGTCTGCCCCAAAGTCCTGCCTGGCCCCAGGAAACAGATGCGCACCCTCAAACACCCTGTAAGGTTTTTCTTCCCCTGAGCCGAGGCACACTGTTTGTTCTGGCCTTGTTTTTTGGCTAAATGCCGTGGTCAAAACTCTAACATATACTTCCTGATAAGCTAAGTTGGTGCAATTCAGAAAGAACCCCTCTTAGGGTTAAACAAGTTGGCCATCGAAAAAATATACTGACATGTAGGGGTTTCAAAAAGCTGCAAAGTCTACTGCCTCTTTCAATCCTATTTTTAAAGTCTGCTTAACTGATAAGGCCTGAGGATTTGTTTGTTTTTCAAATGAGGCAGAGAACCCCAGGATCCTCCTCCTTTACATAACTTGGAGTGCCTTCTTCGGAGCAACAGGCTGCATGCACAGGTGTCCAGGTTACACGGTTGGGAAGCTGCCGGCCACACTTTGCAACCACGCAAGAATGAGCCGGAACATGAACCCAGAGTCCACACCCCTTTTTGCAAGCTGGAAGCCATGAGCAAAGTTCAGCCAGAGGAAAGGGAGACATCCGCGCAGTGCCACTAGCCTATGTTGTGATCCTGAAATTCAGGAGGAGGAGGAGGCAGGGAGAACCGCGCAGGGGCCTGCCTTCTAACTGAGGGCAACACTTGCTTCCTGGGAAAGCACGCAAGTGTCAGCTTGCTTTCCTGGCTTAATAACAACTTAGGATATATGTTGGGAAGGGGTTCAGGGGCTTTTCTGAGCATCCCCACTGCCCTTGGCTCAGTTTTACTCAAGACGAAACAAACCCCGAATGGGAAGGGCAGTATGGTAGGGAGAGACTTGTCCCTTCCCCTGAGTGACTGCACATATGTTCATGCACAAACACAGAGATGCGTTTCCTATGCAATAAGTAGGACCTGCATACCATCCTCAAAGTAAGGGCGGTCCCAGCCCTGGTCAAGCCACGGTGGGGAAGAGTGTGTTGTGGAAGGAGCAGAAGGACACGCTGCTCCTCGGACGGCAGGCCTCAGTGACACCACTGCAAAGATCCAGGAGAGAACATTGCTCCTTCAGCACTTTAACAAACCAGGTGCAAAGCAGCTTGCGTTTTTATTTTCATGGAACATTAGCCATCGTCAGCAGGAATAATTCTTTTTCCCTTCATGGAGCTTGTGTGCAGATTAACCATATGAGGACTCAGAGATGCAACTTATTTTCTTTTCCAAACAATACAAAAAATGTAGATTAAAATGTGCAGGTGCACACACACACACAAACACACGTTCTTGGGAGATTGAAAAAAAGTCACTTCATGATATTGATGGTTACCAGGAGAAGGGACAGGTCTACAACTAAAACCTTTTGCCTGGCTGAGGCTCCGGCTCTCTCAGTCTAAAAGGATTTTATAATTAATGGAAGCTTGGTCTTTATCAAACTGCCCTGCCGTGAAGGCAGGTTGCTAACTCCCCAGTTCATGGAGGAACGCGCTGTGTTTTGCAGTAAAAGGGCTCGAACAATTAAGAGGGCACGTTAAAAAAAAGTTACAAACATATATTACGAAGTTTAATTACTTGGAACCTATACTAACTGGGATTTGCCAGCCTATATGCTAAACGTGAGAAACAGAACTGGATAATATTAAGCCAGGCAGATGGTCAGAAGTCCTAATTCTTATTTTGGTTTCATTTTCAAAGAGCACACATCTGTTCTTCCTCAGCAATTGCTTACTGGATCTACACGTATGCTGCGCCAAAGAATAACGGAAATCCAACTTCTGTGTTAGAATAAACTCTGCAAGTGAATTAAATTTGCAGGTGCTAACTTTACTGGAGTTCTGTTCTTAATTTTTTTCCAAGGAAGGGGTGACCTTGTACAAGTGCACATGATACATATGGCTGCATATGTTTACCTGAGGAGCCCTGTCAAAATATCCTTTTAAAAGAACCTGGAATTTAGAGAGGTAGCTCTTCCATGCTCCAGTAAAAATGAGTAGAATCTTGGGAATGGGTGGAAAAGTTGGGGACGCTGAGACCTATGGGAGAAACACACACAAAACATGATGTTCCCACTACTAAGAGGGGAGTTATCCAGACAAGGCTTCCTATTTCCATACCCACAGAAATACAAAAATCCATACCTCCGAAATTCTGCAATTCAGTAAGTCTCAGGAACACTAAACTAACCAGATGCAGATCTAGAAAGTAGTATTTCCACAGACACCTCTGAGAAGAGGTCTTGGAGGAATCTGATGGGAGCAGTTCATACCTTTTGGGGAAGGGATCTGAACTGATGCAGGTGTGAAGGTACAAGGATTCAGTGGTGCTCTGGATCTTTTTTCTTTTTTGGTTCACGTCCTACTGTTTCTAAGAGCTGCAGTAGCTAAGACCGACCAGCAAGGTAACCGCAACCTGCTTCTAATTAATCCTGCCTTCATGTCAGTTTGCCACGTCCCTTGTCCAGAAGCCTTGTGGGGTTCTCTCAGTCCAGGTGGAACCGAACAACAGATATGCATCCAAGAGAACAACTCTTTCCCATTTCCCTGGAAAAAGACTCTGGCTTTACATGAGATTGCTTTGGGCAGAGATTCAGTTTTCCCTAAGACTTAGATTGTTCAGGCAGGTGAAACACCACTCAGAACAAATACTCCAGGCCTGGTGCACAGAAGCACTGCAAGAACTTTACTGTTTCTGAAGCACTTGGAGACTTTTTGACCAAAGCATGAAATAACTAGTGCAACCTTTATAAAAGAAAGAAAGAAAAAGGTCTTTTTCTCTGTGATCAACAATGCAGAAAAGCAGACAGTACTAAATGTGCCACAGGGCGGGCTGAGAAAGCACGGAAGGGGCAAAATAAGTGACAGATTCCTTCCCCCGATTCTCTTTCTTGCAGATAAAATATATGGGGCTGCTTTCTGCAAATAATGAGATTGAGCCGTGCGGGGGGGGGGGGGGGGCTCTTAAAAGATATGCTTCATTTACCTACTTTGGAGGACGAGGAGAGAGACGGGGAAGCTGTGCATGCTGGATGATCAGCACAGAAGCAGGGAGATGTGGTGGTGCACACAAATTCACGGCCCATGTGTGTGTCCTGAAGTCACACCAGAATCAGCACATGGGTAAGCTGAGCATCTGGGGGAAAAATGTTAGCATGCACACCCATGTCCAGAACACAACAGTAGGGCCTTCCCAGAAGGGCTTACAGCGGTTTTTGTTTAGACTTGCTATCAACAAGTAGGGTGTGCAATGTAGGGAATTCTGCTCTATTTAAGTCCAAGGAGATTCTGCAATAGTTCCCGTAAGTGGCAGAACAATGTACTGGATATTTTTATTCCAAAGAAGTGTGCATTTGGTGGGGAGGGATCTGCTATTTATGAAAATTGCAATTTGAACCCAAAAAGGAAGTTCAAATGTGCGTGCTAATACCACAATTTTATTTTTTGAAGGCATTATTATGCAAGTGAACATAACTACAGTTCCACAGACCTGCTATTTAACTCCACAGCTGTGGATTCCCCCTTTCTAAATATCAGTTTCATCTTCTCATAACCTACCTCAGAGCCGAATTCCCTACTTGTCAAAGAAGTTGTCAGATTCTGCCCCCAAGTTGAAGATAAAATGGGCAAGTTCAATGCCATGGGTAGGTGAGAGAAGCAAACATGAAAACTAAATCAATACTCAGCGGGGAGTATATTGCTATTTCCCATGCAAAGGTGAAGGGAGAAGTTGATTCACCATGTCAGAAGAAAAGCTTGCAGCAGATGTACTATTTTTTACTACCACATAAATAAGGTCAAGATATCTTTGAGAAGCTGATGGTCCCCCATATCAGCCTTGACCCATGATCCACAAGGCAATTTTGTGCTGTGACCATCAAGGCTTAATGAAGAACTGATGGCATTCTAAAACCAAGTGTTTTGACCCAGACTTCTCCCCGGAGACTCTTCATCTCAAGAACCGAGCTGGGCATGACAGATCTAATACGGACCACAATGGAGACCATCTGAGTGGGATGGTGAAATGTGGTGTCCTGCAACAGCAGGGGGTTGGACTGGATGGCCTTCATGGCCCCTTCCAACTCTTCTATTCTATGATTCTGTGATTCTAAGATTAATGCTTACTGAGGTAGTCAATTTCTTCCCGCGCTGCACAATCTTAAACTGCAAGGGAGATGAAGCTGGACTAAGAGAATGTTCCCCTGGAGAAGCTCAGAATGGTGAGATAACCCAAACCGTGGTGCTGGTTGGTAGCTATGGCCTTGCAGCAGAAGACCTGTGGGTCATTCTGCTCAGGCATGTTTAGCTCTTGGGGAGGCAAGAGACGCAGAGAGAACGAAAGAGGTTCAAATGATGCCTAAACCAGGATGTGAGCCTAGACTGAACGCCAGTCTGCTTGCTCTATACAATTTACCATCTCACCAACTGGAAGAGATGGAGCTCAATAGCAAGAGGAATCTTCCTGCAAGTTTCCCCTTCTTCTTTAAAGATGTGCCTTTGAGTTATATCACCACTGTTCTGTCCTTCCCTTGCGGTACAGCTCATGCCTTTAATGTCACTTGATTTTGATCTTAGACTATATTTTTAAGGGACATTGTTTATTACACTGTTGGCTGCAGCCCTATTTTAGAGTTCCTATCTTTATACTGACATAACAGGCATCTAGTATTTAATTCCTTGTAGCTTTAATAGAAGTACCAAATCAAGTGAAGTACCAACGCCCCTCTACTCAGCACTGGTTGGACTTCATCTTGAGGACTGCATCTGGGCACCACAGTTGTAAAAAGATGCATACAAACTGGAAATGGTTCAGAGGAGGGAAAAGAAGATGACCAGGGACTGAAAACAAAGACCTGTGGAGGAAGACCAAAAAACATGGGCATGTTTAGCTCCGAGAAGACTGAGAGGAGATATGACAGCACTTCTCAAGTCTTTGAAAGGCAGCAGGACTCATTCATGGGCTCAAGCACAGCAAGCCGGTTTCTGGCCTGACATCTTGGCTGTTAGAGCAGTACAACAATGGAACCCATGACCCAGGGAGATGGAGATGCCCCTGGATAGGCATACATGTTACAGAGGATTGAGCTTGGAATCCTACATTCAGAAGGACCTTATGGGCCCCCTCCAATTCTACTATTCCATGATTTCACTGTTTCCATAATCAGCAAAGTAATACTTCGGAACCTGTGTGCATTCTAAATTATCACAGGCTCCCGCTCTGATCCAGATTATGTAGAAATGCATTCCATTCCGCTGCATCACCCCAAAGTATCCCCATGTTCATGTGTACAAGCACACCAAATGGAATATGACTAAGGATGTGAGGACTAGGAGAGTGTCACCTTGAGTAGTCCAAAGCCCTAAAAACAAGGAGACGTTCAAGGGGCTTGTGCACTGGCCTTCTTCAAGGTGTTCCCTAGGCAGAAGACAAGACTTTGAATGCAATGATTTGAATGCGCCTTCATGTTCCGTCTGAAAGAGGGACACATTGAAGGTTAGCCTAGTAAAGCACCAGCCGGGGGTGCAGGGACCCACTGAGAAGCCCCCAGACTCGCTCCATGGCTCCTCCTAGACTTGTCCCTTGTAGCCTGCTTGTTCAGCGGCCTCTCGCTTTGCCCAGGCGGTGGTGGGGAGGAGGGGGAGATGCCATGGCCTAGGTGCTCACTGGTTCTCTGTCTCATGGGCAAGCAAGTGGAGACAGGGGTGAGGCAGAGGAAGAAGAGCACGAGATGATGGCCGTGAGAAGGCAACCTTGCCAATGGAGGGGGCCCACGGAGGACGCCTTGCCCAGGTGCCCTCAAAAACACGGAGCCCGCAAAATGTGCAACCTGGGAACCTCACAATCCACACTGGTCGACACGCCACGGACCGGCTCGGTTGAATCACTAAGGCTCTCAGCTAAGCAGCAAAGGATGGACGAGCTCGTGCCAAAGTACAGCTGGAGGGAAACTGGTCACACCTGAACCGCCTCCGTTGTGTCAGAGAGCGCAATGCTACGAGAGAGAGTTACAGATCGCTCTCATAAGCCATCATGTTGTCACGGCTTTTTCATCTGTAGCCCTAAAGACACATGGCAGCACAAAGTCAATAAGGCTTCGCAGGAAAGGAAATGCGCCGGCTGAAGAAGCAAAGGCTTCCCGAGCGCTGCGTGGCCCTGAGCTAGGACAGGCGCAGGTAAGCATATCTGATCCGGACACATCCTGTGCAGAGTTAACAGGATTGAGTTGAAAGACTTTCCCACTGCCCTTTTGTAAATACCTGCTGAGTAAGTGTGAAGATAAGACAAGTATTACATTACGCTGGTTCCTGATGCATGAAGGACTTTTTTTAATGCATAAAGTTCTGGCGGAAAAATAATATATATTAAAAAATGAACAATTGCCACAGCTAGTTTCACAGAAAGGCTCAGGTGCAAAATGAGAGTGTCGTTTATTAGTGGAGAGAAATTTATCTAGGTTTCCCACAGCTGGAAAGAAAAGGAGGTTAGTTATATTTCCTGTCTGAGTCCCCCTGCACCCTCTGCTTCCTCTCCCTCAGACTAACTCACATGCTATTTTTTTCCCACCTGAGCCAGTCCAGAAACGAAGGCTAGCTCAAGAGATTATCAAAACAAGTTCAGGCACACCCTAAATATTCAAATCATAAGCATTGTGTTGCAACGCCGGAACATATTTGCATAGGATTATAGAGATTTAATGGGGACACACAATTTTGGAGGTACACAATGCAGCAACTCTTTCAAGCTGAATCTATTTGGTACCTGGATATGAGACAACCTTAGGATTCTCACATACACTGCCTTGGGTATATGTTGCAAGAAATGCAGAACGGACATGTCACAGAAGAAAGTTATTGATTTATTTAAAGCTTTTATAACCCATTCGATTAGCAAAAGCTCTCGGAATGGTGTATGAGATAAAAGCCTTATAAAACCAACCACAATACACATATTTGATATCCGTAGAGCATCTAGAACAACCGAAGTGGACAACAATTAATAATTAGTACATAACACCAAATATTAATTAATCCACAGTATG